ATGATCCACCCACCTCAGCCTCCCAAAGTGCTGGGATTACAGGCATGAGCCACCGCGCCCGGCTCCCATCTCTATTAAAAATCCAAAAAAAAAAAATGTTTTTTAATTAGCTGGGCATGGTGACCCTCGCCTGTAATCCCAGCTACTTGGGAGGCTGAGGCATGAGAATCGCTTGTACCCAGGAGGTGCAGCTTGCAGTGAGCCGAGATTGCACCACTGCACTCCAGCCTGGGAGACAGAGTGAGCCTCCATCTCAAAAAAAAAAAAAAAAAAAAAGGCTGGACACAATGGTTCACACCTGTAATATTAGCACTTTGGGAGGCAGAGGTGGGTGGATCACCTGAGGTCAGGAGTTTGAGACCAGCCTGACCAACATGGAGAAACTCAGTCTCTATTATAAATACAAAACATTAGCCAGGCATGGGCTGGGCACAGTGGCTCATGCCTGTAATCCCAGCACTTTGGATGGCCAAGATGGGCGGATCACCTGAGGTCAGGAGTTCGAGACCAGCCTGACCAACATAAAGAAACCCCATCTCTACTAAAATTACAAAATTAGCCAGGCGTGGTGGCACATGCCTATAATCCCAGCCACTCGGGAGACTGAAGAAGGAGAATTGCTTGAACCCAGGAGGCGGAGGTTGTGGTGAGTGGATATCGTGCCATTGCACTCCAGCCTGGGCAACAAGAGCGAAACTTTGTCTCAAAAAAAAAAAAAGAAAAGAAAAGAAAAGAAAAAGAAACTAGGGCTGGGTGCAGTGGCTCACACCTGTAATCCTAGCATTTTGGGAGGCCGAGGAAATCAGATCGCCTGAGGTCAGGAGTTCAAGACCAGCCTGGTCAACACAGCAAAACTCCATCTCTACTGAAAACACAGAATTAGCCAGGCATGGTGGCAAGTGCCTGTAGTCCCAGCTACTCAGGAGGCTGAGGCAGGAGAATTGCTTGAAACTAGGAGGGAGAGGTTACAGTGAGCCAAGATCATGCCACTGCACTGCAGCCTGAGCAACAGAGCAAGACTCCATCTCAAAATAAATAAATAAATAAAAAATAAAGAAAAAGAAAACTACAGGCTAATATTCCCGATGAACATAAAAATTCTCAACAAAATGCTAGCAAACCAAACTCAGTAACACATTAAAAGATCATTCACCATGATCAAGTGGGATTCAGCCCAGGGATGCAAGGATGGTTCAACTTATACAAATCAATAAACATAATGCATCATATTTACAGAACCAAGAATAAAAACCATATTATCATTTCAATAGTTTCTGAAAAAGCATTTAATATAATTCAACATCTCTTTGTGATAAAAACTCTCACCACCTAGGTATAAAAGGCATACACCTCAAAATAATAAAGTCCATATATGACAGACCCACATATTGACACAGGGAAAAATTGAAAGCCTTTCCTCTAAGATTCGGAATAAGACAAGGATACCCACTTTTACCACTTGTAAACATAATACTGGAAATTCTGACCAGAGTAATTAGGTAAAAAGAAAGAAATAAAGGGCTTCCAAATTAGAAAGGAAGAAGCGAAGTTAGTCTTGTTTGCACATGACATGATCTTATATACAGAAATACCTAAAGACTCCACAAAAATTTTTTTAGAATTAATAAACAAGTTCAGTAAAGTTGGTAGATACAAAATCAACAAAATCAACCCAGTCTAATCAACATGGTGAAACCCCATCTCTACTAAAAATACAAAAACTAGCTGGGTGTGGTGGTGGACACCTGTAATCCCATCTACTGGGGAGGCTGAGGCATAAGAGTCGCTTGAACCCAGGAGGTGGAGATTGCAGTGAGCCAATATTGCACTACTGCACTCCAGCCTGGGCAATAGAGCGAGACTCAATCTGGAAAAAAAAAAAAAAAAAAGCAGTAGCATTTATACATGCCAATAACAAACAATCTGAAAAATGAAAAAGAAATAAAGAAAGCAATCCCACTTGCAATAGCTTCAAATAATATATAATACCTAGGAATCAATTTAACCAAACAAGTAAAAGATCTATACAAAGATAACTATAAAACACTGGTGAAAGACATTGAAGAGTATACACACCAAAAAATAGAAAGATATTCCATACTCATGTATTGGAAGATTTAAAATTGTTAAAATGACAAAACTATCCAAAGCAATTTACAGATTCAATGCAATTCCTATCAAAATGCCAATGACATTCTTCACAGAAATAAGAAATTCCTAAAAGTTATATAGACCCAGAAAAGACCCCTAATAGCAAGTAATCCTGAGTATAAAGAACAAAGTGGAGACGGGCATGGTGGCTCACACCTGTAATCCCAGCACTTTGGGAGGCTGAGGCGGGCAGATCACCTGAGGTCAGGAGCTTAAGACCAGCCTGGCCAACATGGTGAAACCCCATCTCTACTAAAAACATAAAAATTGGCCAGGCATGGTTGCACACACCTATAATCACAGCTACTGGGGAGGCTGAGGCAGGAGAATCACTTGAACCCCGGAGGCGGAGGTTGCAGTGAGCCGAGATTGAGCCATTGCACTCCAGCCTGGGCGACAAGAGTAAGACTGTGTCTTAAAAAAAAAGAAAAGAAAAAAGAACAAAGTGGAAGCATCACGCTAGCTTTCTTCAAAGTATACTACAAAGCTATAATAACCAAATCAGCATGGTACTGGCATAAGAACAGACACATAGGCCAACGGAGCAGTATACAGAACACAGATATAAATTCATGCATTTGTAACCCACTCATTTTCAACAAAGGTGTCAAGAATATACAATGGGAAGGCTGGGTGTGATGGTTCATGCCTATAATCCCTGTGTTTTGGGAATAGTTTAGACTCAAGTAATCTGCCCACCTTGGTCTCCCAACATGTGCACTTGGGAGGCTGAGTTGAGCAGATTGCTTGAGTCCAGGAGTTCGAGACCAGCCTGGGCAACATGGTAAAACCCTGTCTGTACAAAAACTTAACAAAAATTAGCAGCTGGCTGAAGAGACGCAAGACTATAATCCCAGCACTTTGGGAGGCCGAGGCGGGCAGATCACAAGGTCAAGAGATTGAGACCATTCTGGCCAACATGGTGAAACCCCGTCTCTGCTAAAACTACAAAAACTAGCTGGGCGTGGTGGTACACGCCTGTAGTCCCAGCTACTCGGGAGGCTGAAGCGGGAGAATCACTTGAACCTGGGAGGCAGAGGTTGCAGCAAGCCGCAATCGCACCATTGCACTTCAGCCTGGCAAGAGAGTGATACTCCATCTCAAAAAACAAAAAACAAAACAAACAAACAAACAAAAAACTGCGAAGGGTCTGAGAGTTCACCCTTCTCGCAAACTAACCAGTGTCTTATGGCAGAAAAAGCAAGTGCTCCCATGTGGAAAAATGGAAATGCAGGAAGAAATGAAAAACACCACAAAAAAAAAAAAAAA